TCAATTTATTCACATCCAAGCGATATAGTCTTTCCTGGTTTGAGAAATTACTGGTACTCATTTTTCAAATTAACTGCAATCTTTTCTTGTCATTTCAACAGACTCACAAAATGGCATGGCCTTTCCTTGAACCAGTGGATCCCCATGACGCACCTGATTATTATCGCGTAATCAAGGAGCCAATGGGTAAGAACAAATGATAGTAATTGTTTTTGACGTGTGATTTTCCTCAATCCTGGGAAATGTCCAACGTGTCTGCGTCCCATTGTGGAGGGTACCTGTTGTGATTTCCTTCAGATGATGAAATGACCCAGATACCGTTGATCGTACCGTTTATTTCCTGATATCTTGTATTGTAGGAAGTGTTATGCATGTATTTCACATATTTCTCTGTTGCCCCTTGTAGACTTTTCCACAATGGAAACCCGTTTGCAAAAGCGACATTACCACAAGCTCACAGAGTTTGTGGCCGACGTGACCAAAATCTTCGACAACTGCCGCTATTACAACCCCAATGACACGCCCTTCTTTCAGTGTGCCGAGGTGCTTGAAGCCTTCTTTGTACAGAAGCTTAAGGGTTTCAAAGCGAGCAGGTAAGGTCAGGTGCTCCTACTGCTGCCGTCTCTCAAGGTTCCCAAGTTTCTCCCTCTCCTTTTCCATGCTCATGTTTGTGTGCCGTAAAGCTTTGACTCTGGCCACACCGGCTGTCACGTCAGTTTAATTTGTTTTCTTAATTTGTGCATTAATGCCTGTCCCTTCACTCTTTTGTTTTAGTTTTGTTTATACCACTAGCATGTGTTGTTACTTTGCAGTAGAATGTGCTTTACTTGTAGACTAGAGTTGGCTTTAACCTGTCAGTGCTTTGAAGGGTTGCTTGGCTGTACTAAATCCAACAGAGCTGACCAACTTCAAGACATTATGTCCAATGTCTTAACAGACCTTTGTGCCATGTTACATCTGTATCGTGTTTCATCTTGCATTTGTGTCTGTTCACCTTTGCTGCATGCCTTTGATTTATGCCATCCCATTTTCTTCTTTCTTGCAGATTGTCAGATTCTTAAGTGGGCCAGTCTAGCTGGAGTCTGGACTGGATGCTGGGGTCTCTAGTAATAATGACATGGAAACTTTGTATTTCCAGAACAGCAAAAAAAAAACATGACTAAAGAAAACAAAAACACCACAAGAACACACAAACACCAAATGTGCTTTCATCTAATTTCCATCAATACAGCATTTTCGGTAACCATTATAATATTCAGTTTAATCACAGAATGACAGCCATGTTGACATGTGTTGATCATGTAATCGGGGGACATGCTTTCTTCTCATCACTTCGTCTAATCTGGCCTTTTCTAACCATAAATCACAGTAGTTGAGGTTTCCAGTGGCATTTTTAAATGCATTGTAGTTCCTACCTTGGATTTATTTTCTGTTATACATCTGAGCTGGATTGGATAATGTGTTGACCTTACCAGATGTTAAAAAATATATATAAAGCTGCATATTTTATTATAGAGAGATATTTAAGAGAAGTTTTGTATGTTACATCCCTTTTTGAGTTTGATTTAACTGGTTGTTAAAGGTGGTTGTCTTGAATGTACATACTTTTTATCATGTACAGTGGTTGTAAGGTATATCTGACTCTGTATTTGAATGTTTTAAATAATTATGAAACAAATCATTTTAGATTGTGTATTATTTTATGAAACTAAAAATGTACTACAAAGCGTGAGGAATTTGACCTCGTCCTGTTCCTCACTTCACAAAGTAACCTCAGTTTGTAGTTGTGGAAGATTGCATCAGTAATAAAGGCATTCCTAGGAAATTACACCAACATGGCTGCAGGACCCTCTGCCAACCCCTTTGCAACGTCTGTCTGTTGAGATGTCACAATAAATAAACTAAATACGAAGGCCTCTCAACTTTCCCCTCTCTCCGCATTCTGTAGGTCTCATAACAACAAGCTACAGTGTTCTTCGGCCTCTTAGAAAGCATCGCACATTGCTCAGACAAAATGCACTTGCCAAGAATATGGCTTTTCTGAACTGTAACTCTGTGACAGACTCCTCTGCCTCATCCTGTGTTTGGGATCTGCTCCTCTGACTGTCGGTGCCACCAGCACTGCTGCTTTCACAGAACTGTTCAGGCAGAGCTACCTTCTGCCCATTTGAGCTCTAAGGGACCTTTTTGGACCTGGTCTTCATCAGTGGGACTGTACTGAGGAGCATGAACAACTGAGGCATTTCAGAAGAACGTTTACCTCGGAGAAAAGACTCTTAAGGAGCTCTCATATTTCCATGTTCTTTTTTTTTTATCTCAGTCTTTTTATTCAGTTTTTTTTTTCTTATTATTAAAAATCCCTCAGGCCATTCTTGTGGTCATCATGTCCAATGAGAAATAGGAAATTGAATACTTACATACAGTGGCAGAGTTTTACTGAGCATAACGTAACAAGAGTTTTGTGTCTAAGTTCAGATATCGCAGTGGAACTTTTTTCTCCCATTTCCACTCATTGTTTAGTCCGAAGTGGCATGAAAGACAGTTGTACTAAATATCTGGACACCAGTAGTCTGCTTGGTTAAACTTCTATAACCTACTGAAAGTATGGTAATAAGCTATTGTAAATGAATTGCTCTGCAGTAGTGACTGACTGAGAAGGATTAAACAGTGTATTTGAAGGTTCCTGCCCTGTTTGTAAAAATTTGTCAGATTTTGACTGGATTTCTTTTTCTTTTTTTTGTATTACATCTGAAGAAATATTGATGTATATGGAACTTAATAAAATGGAGAAGATTGCTTCCTTCCTAGTGTGTTTTTGTGGCACGTAAGAGTGTTGTTGACATTTATGTGTACACATAGGAGCTCAAGACCTGATATATAGAAAGCGGTATAGAACTGATCTAATTAGTAACAATAAAAGAAATAGTAAAACATTAAATGTGCTTTACAATGCTCTCACTTCAGTGGTTCAAAAACAGGTTTAACATCCATTCCAGATTTCTAAAAAGGAGTGAAAGAGAAAGTATCTTTAAATGTACTTAAATCTATCACATGGCTGTTTATTTGAGGCGTGGATATACGACATTTCGTTCATTGTTTCCCTGTGGACTACGTGACGCCAGAACCGAAATTCACCGATCCGGGAACAGTTCATCCCTCCCTCACGTCCAATGAAAAATCATAACGACGGCAGAACACTGACCCAGAGTCTGATTAAACGGTAACTTAAATCATATTAGCAAGATGCTGAGATCTCGCGATGTTTCTACGGTGACGACACTTCCCGTGTGTGATTTTCTTTTAAACGGACCAATGAGCGGAGGCGGCTGGATGCTCCTGCTCGAACTGCCCAATCAGGAGGCTTTGTTGCAGGAATTTAAAGGTCTGTGCGGCACTCTCCATGTACCACATCCTTTGCACGACGAACGGGTAAGTTCGTGTTAACTGCTTATGTATTTTTATGAAAAAGAACATCATTTTCTTTATGAAATATAATCATTTCCATATTTTTTCAGTGTGTTGCTTTCTGTGTTTCCGGGTTGAACTAGCTGGCGGTTGGCTACTTTGACATGATTGTCATTCTCCTCGCTGTCACGAGGCAGTTTGAAGCAGGTTAACTTAGACCGACTTTTGTTTTTATTTGTGTGCAGGAATAACGCCACGAAGCTTTATTTTCACTGCTGCTAAACTTCCACGACAGCTTGAACATGTCTGAGAACGTCGCACGTCTGAACAAGTTCAAGAACAAAGGCAAAGACGCCAATGTGAGTTCATACGGCGACGAGTTGCTCCACATCTGTATCGTTATGCAAGAGTTGCTGTTGTAAACGTGTGGTTTGCCTTTACGTGCATACATGCAGGAACTTCGACGCAGGAGAGTGGAGGTGAACGTCGAGCTGCGCAAGGCGAAGAAAGATGATCAGATCTTCAAGAGAAGAAATGTGTCTGCATTTCCTGACGAGGCCACTTCTCCTCTTCAGGAAAGAACCCAGAACTGTCAGGTAAACCTTTAAATCTATTATTTAAACTGAGTGTTCAATCTGCTGCTGCATGAATCCAGACAAGACCACTATAATCCATCCAGTTCAATTTGTATAGGGCCAAATCCTTACAGCTGTAGTCAGTTATCACAAGACAGCCACAAATCCTTTTCTTCAGCTCAGTGGTAATCTTTGAGCCTGAGGTTACTGAATTCATGTTTCCCACCTCTTGTGTGTCAACTGGCAGGCCGCCCGACAGTGGACAGTTGAAGAGATTGTTGCAGGAGTGAACAGCGGTAATGCTGAGTCCCAGCTCCAGGCTACACAGGCTGCACGGTAATAACAATACATGAAAGAACAATGTAATGTACACCTAAACTGTACAACACAATCACAATGACCAGTTACCGCCACCATGACTCACTCTTTACTATCCTAATCAGGAAACTGCTGTCTCGTGACAAGCATCCTCCCATTGACCAGATGATCAGTGCTGGGCTGATCCCCAAGTTTGTCGCCTTCCTGGGGCTTATAGACTGTCCACCAATCCAGTTCGAGGCTTCCTGGGCTCTGACCAACATTGCCTCTGGGACGACTGATCAGACAGCAGCTGTTGTTGAGGGCGGGGCCATTCCTGCCTTCATCGCCCTGGTCACATCCCCTCACCAGCACATCAGCGAGCAAGCGGTCTGGGCCCTTGGAAACATTGCTGGTAATTGACACAATGTTTTTGTCAATAGTATGTCATGAGTATTGGGTTAGAAGCAAATATCATGTGTTGGTGTTTTCTTTTCTTTTGGTCTTTAGGCGATGGATCGGCTCTTAGAGACCGGGTCATCAAGCATGGAGCTGTGGCCCCACTGCTCAGTCTGCTGGCAGTTCCTGACCTGTCTGTTTTTAATGCAAGTATTTTTAGTTTTTAATAGAAAACCAAGTTGTTGGGTTTTTTCTTCTTCTTTTAGTGTCCTATTGTAACAACATTTTATATGACTAATATATAATTTTCTTGACATGGTCAAATTAAATCATTATTCTTATTGTCCACTAGGTGGTGCCCTAACTCAACCAATACTGCTGTGTCAAACTGAGGCCTGGCCTTCTCTCATACTTGTGTTTTTTTGTTTTGGTGCAGACTGGCTACCTGAGAAATGTCACATGGACGCTGTCAAACCTCTGCCGCAACAAGAACCCTTCCCCTCCTATGGCTGCAATCCAACAGATCTTACCCACTCTCATTCGTTTACTACACTGTGATGACCAAGAGGTGTTGGCCGACGCGTGTTGGGCTGTGTCATACCTGACAGACGGCGCTAATGACCGCATCGAGGTGGTGGTCCAAACTGGCTTAATTCCTCGCCTGGTGAAGCTGCTTGGCTTTGATGCGCTGCCTGTCATTGTAAGTATAAAGTCTCACTTTCTCTGTTTTTCTGTTCGTCCACCATGTACATGAGGTTGATGGCTGGTTCTTGTAGTCTGGGAGGCTGTGCCATCACCTTGAGGTAACTCCTTACGTTATCACAAGTTCTAAAAAGGACCCCTCTCACCTTTTCTTCAGACCCCTGCGCTGCGTGCCCTCGGCAACATTGTGACTGGTACAGATGAGCAGACTCAGACGGTGCTGGATGCCGGTGCCCTGAACATGTTCCCCAATCTGCTGCGCCACAAAAAGCCCAACATCCAGAAGGAGGCAGCCTGGACTCTGTCCAACATCACAGCAGGGAAGGATGCCCAAATCCAGGAGGTCATCAACGCAGGCCTTGTTCCATACATGGTTGATATGCTTGTGCGGGTATGTTCTTTGTTTGACTGGAGAATATCACGTCAGCTTTACCAGTACGCTGCTGTCAAACAGATGCCTACATTGGGTCTAACTCTTCTGGTCATGTCTCTGCAGGGTGACTACAAAACTCAGAAAGAGGCTGTGTGGGCTGTTACAAACTTCACCAGTGGGGGCACTATTCAGCAGGTGGTTTACCTGGTTCAAGCCAATGTGCTTGAGCCTCTTCTGAGCCTACTCTCCTCTAAGGACAGCAAAACTGTCCTTGTCATCTTGGACGCCATTACCAATATCTTCATGGTGAGTGACTTGTCATGGAAAAATAGACATGTCTGTCGTGAGTTTTGCTGCTGGCTGTAAAATAATGTAAAATACTGATGTTTTCCTCTTCAGGCTGGGGATAAAATTGGAGAGTCAGACAAGCTGAGTCTAATGGTTGAAGAATGCGGTGGACTGGACAAGCTGGAGGCTCTGCAGTCTCATGAGAACGAGATGGTCTACAAAGCGGCCTTCAACCTGATTGACAAATACTTCTCTGAACATGTAAGTGTCTTAAAAGATATTTTAACTGACTATTAAATCAACTTTTATGCCTGAGAGGTGGCTTACTGTGATGTTTTCTCTATAAATGTTTTGTTTTTGTTTTTTAAAGGAAGAGGAGGTGGAGTGTGTGGCCCCAGAAGCAACCGATGATGGTTATGCATTTCAAATCAATGAGAACCAGAGCACTTTCAATTTCTAGAAAACTTTCTAATACCTCTACTCTCAACTTTACTGTACCCTCACTGCTACTTTGTTTGTCCTTTTGTTCATGTAATTGTTGAATTTTTCTGTTTTTGTATGTATTGTACATACTGTTTTAACAAAACTGATAAAACATGATTGTAAATAAAGTTGTTGTATCGTGTGGTGATTTGTTTATATATATATATTTTTCTCCATCAAGAGTGTATTTACTATGAGTAAACACAATGTTTTAAAAACAAACACTAATACTGATGGTGTAATTACAAGTTGCAGTATGATGTTGAAATAGAAAGTAAGGTTTTGATTAAATCTTTGTGTGGTAGCCTTGTGTAAATACACAAATTCAAATGTACGTGCCAGCCAAGGTAGCAAAAAGGTTTACTCCACCAATACCAATATAGTGACAGCACCCAGAACTGTGCAGTCCAGTTCTGGGTGCTGTCACTGAACTGAGTTTGGCCACAATCTAAAACCACTTCTTTGAAATTAAATGTAGCAGCCATATAGACATTTACATGAAATTGTTTCACAGAAGACATTTTGATGTCCCAGTAAAAACAATTACAGTGGCTGAATTCCATTTATTTGCTTCAGCTTCAGGGTCCTGCATTCTGGCGGTCAAGACTTACTGGGCCATTGTTCATGTTAATAGTAACACCTGTGCTTTTCCTTCTATAAACTGTCTGCTGTGGAAAAAGACCTATCGAGAGGCGAAGTCCCTCCCTTCTAATGTCCCCTTGCAACCTTATTTCAGAAAATGTATGTACAGTAGTCAACGGCAAGCAAATAATGTTTTGATCCTGTCTTAATTGTGGTTTTCACATTATCTATATTATCTTTATGTATTTTATCAAGGAACTCCTGGTTCTTTTATCGGTACACACAGGTTCAGCAGCATCAGCAGCTCTGGGTAACATTAGCTTGTGGCAAGTAAAAGCTATGACGCCAAACAACTTTTGTGTGTGTGGTCTTTTTAATTACATAATATTTACATTACATTTACAACAAACTACAACTTTCTTGACTTGTAAAATTATAGTTTGAACTGACAAACTTCTAATACAAGGTTATTTGTCATTTTACAACATAACGTTGTGTAATAAAATTTGTCATAGTTCCTTTTGTGCTACTCGTGTGTATATATATATATTTATATATATATATTTATATATAAAAGTTTTATACAGTAAAATGGATTAATAGTTAAATAAACAATGTACTTTTCTATTTCTAAAATAAGGTCCTGTGGTGGTCCATCAAAAGGGGAGGGACCATACAATAAAACCATGAAGAACA